TGTGTCGAAACAGTTCTTGACTATTTGCTAAAACGCTCAACGCGCCGATTGCGATGCAATGCTAAACTGTACTCCGCTTGATCAAAATCAAAATGGCCATTAAAAAGTGCTTGTAGGCAAAATGAAGCGGTAAGTCCAGAAACAGTTTGATTTGGAACAAAACCAAGTTGTTTGAAGCTTCAATGATTTCTGTATAAATTAATTTGAGTTGCTCAGTAAGTGCGGGAAGAGGGTTAACTGTTTAAAATACTCAACAATACCCATCAAAAATAGCTTACAGAGTTTTTAACAGTAAAAACTGCTATGTATAAAGTCTGCCACACTTAAAATCAGGAAAAATCGTTAGCTGTATTCCACAGAACGCACACAAAACATGAAAGTATAATAAACTGCCTGGAAAATCTGCTTTGAATGTTTTGTTTCTGGATTACTTAAGAAAAACTTCTTTTTGCCTTAATATGCAATGCAGCAAAAGCTTTTTTTCTAAATTCTTTTTCTCTTTTTTTTTGCTTTTTATCAGGGTTTTTTTTCTGAATAAAAGTCTCAGTGTTCCACTATGGAAGTGGTAAGAAAAGAGCACCCCTTGTGGCCTGGAGGAATCAGCTACATGCCTCAGACGGACACATCTCAGCTCATGAAGTTCACTCTGAGAGTGTGCAGGAGACACCGGCGCTCAGTCCGTGGAACAGCCGCAATAAACGAGCACGTTTTGAAGTGGGGTAAAGGATAAAGCTCAGTCAGTGAAGCGCTGGCAGGCCTTCTTCCAGCGGCACGCTGTGCACCACAGGTCCCTCTTCTCCATGCCGTACACCTTTCGGCATTTCTTGGCGTCGCCACGCGGTTTCCTGGGAATGCATTTCACATAGTTTCCATTTTAGCTGTGATGCAATGCTTTAAAAACATCTTAAACCAAGAACATCCAGGCAGCTTACCTGGTTCCAGTAGTGGGTTTGGAAGTGGAGGTGTTGGTGGTGTGTGTTTTGCTGACAGTGGTGTGGTTAACAGGCTGTCTCTTCTCACCGATGCTAACAGTGCGGATTTGAGTCATCGGGCCCTGCAAAAGCATTTTATGTTAAAGGTGATCTAAAGCTCAACCAAACATACAAAAGTTAAGACTTATTTTCATCTCAGCTGGCACTTCTACCATTCAAAATTTGGAGTCAAGTAAGATTTTTTAAAGGGGTCGTATGACGCGATTTCAAGTTTTCCTTTCTCTTTGGAGTGTTACAAGCTGTTCGTGAATAGATAAGATCCCTAAAGTTGCAAAGACTAAAGTCTCAAACCCAAAGAGATATTCTTTATAAAAGTTAAGACGCGTCCCTCCTAAATGTCTCGTTTAAACACGCCCCCACATGTCTACTTCACGATGTGGGAAGATTTGCATAGCGCCACCCAAAAGTTCACGCAAAGAAAGAAGGCGTAACTTTATTGTTGCTGCCACCAACGCCACCATGTTGTGAAGATGCTGTGTGTTTCGTTGTGAATGCGAAACTACTTTGTTTGGCCTTCCAAAAGAGGACACGACTAGAAATCAGTGGTTAAGTTGTATTTACAACACTGTTCCAGAACACTTCAACCCAAATATTCCAATGTGTGCAGCACATTTTATGGAGGACTGTTTCCTGATCCTGGAGAGTAGACTACAATGCCGGCTGTTCTGACTCTCAGCCTGTAAATACGTTTTTATATTTAAAGAATTTGCCACTGACGATTCAAACGTGAGTTTTGAGCAGTGTAGAGTAGCGCTTGTTGTTTGTAATTTCTCCGATCACAAATGCAGACATGGTTTTATGTTTACGCAGCGCGATGCAACGCAACGCTAGAAAGAAGGTATAAGTCATTATAATCCGTAATTATGTCCCCACTGGATGCAACGGATGCCTCGTTTATAATGGGTTTTACTAGTTTTGCCTTGTCACTCCGGGACAGGGCATCACAGTATGGTAAAGGGCGTAACATTTCCGTCACACGCTTGAGGTATTCGGCCAATC